GCCGCATCACCCCGAGGCACGCGGTTGCCCCAGGGCTCCCGCAAAGGCAGCGCGCGGCCCCCGGCACAGCCCGTCCTGGGAGACGGACACGCCGGTCTTAAACGAAACGCATGGGCAGCGGCCCACACGCAGCACTCGCGCAGGCTGCGCCTGAGCGCCCAGCGCTTACCGAAAGCAAATCTGCACTTCTGTATGGAAGAATCTTTGGGTGGAATTTGGGCTTGTGCATTCCATCTGAAAAATGAAAACATGCAACAGAGTGTCAATAGCAATTATTAAGCTGCTGCATTTACACAGATCTTTTGGTCTCTAGATGACAAGCTACTTTAGAAAACAGGCAAGCATCACGGATGGCAACTATGTGTCAAAGGCAACGATTAATTGAAAATTAGAACAAAAAAACAGTGTAAAGACACCTCTGATCCAGTCATCAGTGCAGGTAGCTACACTGCAGGCTACTCCCGTGGATAGAGCTGATAAAACTACTCACAGGAGTAAAGCATCTCTCGTATGTGTTTGCTGAATCTAGGTTTACTTACTTCACATAATTTCCTTTTTACCTCTCCTCTTGTGCAGCCATTCTGGTTCCTTGCCCATACAGTATTAAACGGCAACTGCTAATGTTCAAGAGATACTAGTAACTTATCCCCTTGAAAGACAAAGAAAAGCTGGAGTACTTGCCTCTTTCAGCCTTTTGATGACATACGCTATGTTGTTCCTCTGACCTTTGTAGACGTCGCCAAAAGTACCTTCACAAATTCTGCTCTTGTCACTGAAACCATCTGTGGCATTAGCGACTTCCCTCTGGGTCCACAACAGACTCCCGCTGGGGAGATCAGTCATTGTCTCCTGCTGAGGAGTAGAAAAGCTGCAAGGCTACACATTTGTAGAAGAAGTAAGTTTATCTCATGAAAATTCATAAGCTTTTTCTTTCTTTCAGGTGTCATATTTTCTTTTCCATGATTTAAGCAATCACTGTGATTGCTGAAAGAGACTGTGAAAGGTACTGTGCAATCACTCGTTCGGGTTTCCCTTTGCAATACCTGTCTTGGTGCATTTTGCTGATGTAAATATTTTGCGTAGTAAAAGAGACTTGAAAACAGTTACCAATTTGCATTTCCACCTTTCCCAGAAAACAGACTTAGTTTTGTTTAAAAGTCCATATATATATTCATTTGAAGTGGTTAGCTTAAATTATAAAAAAATACTAATCTTTATGGCTGGGGCATATATTAAGAAACAGTTGGATCAGAAAGTAGGGTGCCTCATAATGTGTTTATGTTCTGGTAGGAACTTCACATCTACTTCTGAAGCTTCTGGCATCGGTTGCACAACAATTTGTTGCTTCCAGCATGGCAAGTCCTAATACTGATTGTTAATTATAGTTTCACTGTAGCTTAATCATGCAGCTTTCACAACCTTAGTGTGCTCCAGACTTGAGAAAACAAAACATTAACTCCTCCTCAAGAAACTCTGGAACTACTGCATTCTTTGTAGCCATCTTCTCTTCTGGCTGGTGCTTTTGAACCCTGTTATTTTGTAAGAGTTTGAAGTCTTAAAACACAATCTTCTTTAAAAAAACCCAAACAAAATAAACCAAAGAAAACAGGCCAAGACAGAAGCAGGATGGGACCCGAGTGTGCACACGGATCTGGGAAACACTCTGAGAACCCACAGGACAAATCTAGCTAGGCTGCCTTAAAGACAAGAGAGCTCTAGGGAGGAAGGAACGGGAGACTGTGTGCTGAAATCATTAGGAATGTGAGAAAAACTTTTCACAGTGAGATGGTTAAGCTCTGGAATCGGGGCTCGGAGAGGTGACAGAACCACCATGCTTGGAGATTTTCAGTCGTCAGCTACACAAGGCTCTGGGCAACCTGACTTAAATTTGATACTAGCCCAGTTTTGAGGAGGAAGCACATTCTAAGTATAAAACTAAACTAAAAGAAGTATGCCATTCTGACTAGTCAGTGGTATATATTACACTGTCCTATGATCACACCAGAAACGTTAAGTCCTCTGTACAATCTATACTGGAAATTCCTTCAAAATTAATTGCTATATGTGGACATGTTATCCATCCTGAGCTATGCAGTATGCAATATTGTTAATTTTTTCCCTCACTGGTCCTTCACTGACAAAAAAAGCCATGTAAACCATAAGTAATCTAACTGAAGCATTATATTATATTCAGTCCAAACAAATTGTGATCAAGCCCCACTTTTTTACTAGCTCTACATTTTATACAAGTAGAGGGGTAAATTTTAATCGAGAAAACACAGAACGTCATAAAGACAATTTTCATTGTTACAATCAATGAGTACTCAAGGGATTTACCTTCACACTTGATGAGACAGGAGGATTTGACTGTAAGGATTTCAAAAGGTCTCTTGGGGGAGGTGGTGGTGAAGGGAGTGAATACAAGGCTCCTTCAGAAACGGCACCTGAAATTGCAGTAAAAGCACTGAAAATACACCTTATTTTTATCGTACCACAGTCTGTGACTAATGATGAAGGTCTGGGGTATTCTGTTGAATTTCCTATCGGGGGTAGTCTGTGACAAGCTGTCAAAATGCGAAACACTGCGTGAAGATGGGGAGCTGTTTTCCTGGTTCCCCTTCGCAAGATGACTACGCAGATCCCTCCAGTCCTGGCTCGGGGACATGGAGCTCCCTGCGTCCGTACCCCTGGCCAGGTCTCCCCTCAGCACGTGCCCTGGTCCTGCTCCCTCGCCCTCGCAGGCGCTGGGGCCCGCCGACCCATGCGCGGCGCTCTAGATTTACTTTGCGTGGGGCGAGGGAGGTGCGGCAGGACACGTATACCCCGGTCTAGGCTCGGTGTGGAGCAGGGATGGGACCAGGGTGCTCACAAAGACCCGGGAAACGTCCTGACATCCCACAGGACAGATCGAGCCGGCGTCTCTCAAGGCCAAGAGAGCTACAGGAAGGAGAGAGGCCATGTGCTAAAGTTAGGAATAAACAGCTCAGGAGCCAACAGTGCTAGGAAAAAGGCAAATCTTCACATGTGACCATTTTGAAAAGCAATATATTCATTCTACCATACTGAAAGCGAATGGGAAGCAGTCTTGTCTATACGGTCATTTCAACATTAGGGTAAATTCAGAACCTGTTACTTTACTTACCAGCTGCTGGCGATACTCCCAGGTGTGAAGAGTCTGGGGATGGCAACAGACTCATCTCCTTTTCTCTCTCCCTGTTTTTGTTTTCTGTGGGAGTTAAAGATACGTTCTCCTGTTTAGGTGGCTCTAGCAGCTCTTCTTTTTCAGAGTTGGTAATATTAGCGGCTGATGTCCCTTCAAAAGAGAACAGAGGAAAGATGAAGATTACCAGGGAAAACACAGTCCGACTCTGAGCAGTCATCAGGAGATAATCAGGAAAACAGACTGTAAATTAACATGAACACTAAAATGAACATCCAAGCAAGTTGTTGTTAAATTGCTGGAATACCAGTAGCATTTAAATTCAGACCACATTCATGACATCAACTACTACTGAAAATTAGTAGGAAGCGATAGCTTCAGACAAATACCAGTGACGACTATGCAAAAGACATATAGTCTCTTACGGTAAGAAATTAGCAATAATAGTATATTTATTTTGTCATTTTCTATATATCCTCCTTCAGCCAAGTATCTCAAATCACAAATATCTCCCAGCCTAAAGGCGGCATCTCGTTCTTTGTTAATTGTCATGGGACTGAGAAGAAGTTTAACAGAATTGCATTGGTTTTAGTCCGTTAAATATTTTAGGATTCCTTTCAAGCAGTTTTAGTGTCATGACCATGCTCATTCCCAGAAAACTTATGAACAGAAAGAAACAAACTGGACACAATCTCGGGAAAACATAAAAATGATCAAAGGTCAAGATTACTGATATATGAGGAAAAATTAAAGGCCAAATTATCTATTCACTACACCTCTAAAAGATCCTATTGCTGTACACAGCTTGGCAAAATCTCAGAATCAGGCCTGAAAAAGCAGCTTGAGGTCTGGTTAAAAGAAGTACAAAGAAGCTTTCAGCGTACAGGGACTTGAAAAGTACGTGCATCTTAGAGGGAATTATTAAAATTACATTAGGCTACAGTTAGGATGGGAAAAAAAATAACGTAAAAAAATTCAAGATACTGTGATATACAAAGCTGTCAAAATCTCCTGAAGAAGCAACTTAGTTCTCATCCATGAACACATTTAAAACTGAGGCTGAAAAGGAGCTTGGCGATGCCCAGTGTGCACTGGGGGTGATATAAGGACTTTCTACTGCCTGATAACAACATTTTCCCAGTTGCAGTTCTAAACTTTTGTTTCTACCTGGCACCTTTCATCAGCAATAAATTTAGCATTTTCTTAAAAATCAGAATTAATGTTTTATTTTTATATAAAAGAAAATAAGCACAAGTATTAATACAAGGGGGTTTTGTCACGGTTTTATCAGCTTTGTATCTTAAGCATGGTGGTGACCTCGGAATCAAAAGCCGCCGGCCTCTCTTTGCACTGGAAGTCAGGAAACAGCTTTGTGTTCTTTCTTCTGTACACACAAAGCCTGGGAGTCTCCGGAACAAGCGGGAAGCCGCACGCTTCACCTACAGCCGGTGCCACCTGGAAACCGAGGTTCAGTAGAACCGCCTGAGAGAAGACAAGCTGCGGCAGTTTCAGCGTTAAGTGAACGGTAACTACGTTCAGTTCACTTTTCAAGGACTGCAGGAGAAGCAGTAACGGCAGAAGGGGGCATGTTCACGTCGGGCAACCTTTTTCCTTTGACCTCTCTTTGGGGTTTGCATCCACTATCTTCAATGTCACCTATGAATGCAGGTTTGAATGAAACTAGGTCTTAAAATTAAAAAGCAGAAAAATCAGGTATGTTTATTTCTGTGTCAGAAAGCTACGAAATCCCAAATTTTATGGGTTTTTGAAATTAGCTATCGAACAGACCAATTAGTCAAAATGGGCAGTCCCTGTATTCTGCAGTTGTTGGCTTTTTCCCCCTGTACTTTAATCTAGAAGTCTCTAAAATTAGAATCACTTCCCTCTTTCAACCTGTTTTTTAGGGTTTTTCATTAATTTGGCAACTTCCTGCACATTAGAGAAACAGGTTGCCACTGAAACTAAAGAACTGACATAAGAAGAAAATTATTATTATGGACATTCAGAAGTGGGACTAGAGTAGTGCAAGAAATTGTTAAAGGGAGTTAAAACTCTCCTGGAAGTAAGTAATCTGCCAGCAAAACATCTACCTGTGTGTTGTGTCCGATTCCTTTAAGTCAGAATGAATAGAATTATAGAATAGAACTTAGTTTTCCATTATAAATAGAATTATAACTATAAATAGAACTTAGTTTTCTGAAGTGCCCACAGAACAAGCAATGTATTTATTCTCTGTATCTGCCCAAGGGGAATCACCTGAGTAAGCATACTCAGATATAGATTAAAAAAGCAGAAATAGAGGGTAAAGGCTTCAAAGATTTGTCTAAACCTAAAAAGATCCTGCTAGAAATCACTTCTGCTTATAACTGAGCATACAGTGGAATGCCCGCATTGGGTTAATTCCAGAAAAAATTAACTACTTCCACATGGCAGAACAACAAAATAATCCAGACTTTCTGCCACTCAAATTAACATGAAGTTTTGTTGTGGACTTCAATATAAAAGACAACTATGAGACCTTTTTTTAAAAGATAATTTTTTTGCAATTTACTGCACTTACCAGGGACAAAAATCAATATCGCTTATCCAGAAACATAGCTAAAAATTGATCACTCCACAGGATTTGTCTCTTCCATCCTCTTAAACCAAAATCACTTCTAGCTCCTCATGAAGCTCTTGGTGGAACCGTCCAACATTGCAGTTCACCCATTGTCACAGAGGAAGTCAGAGAGACAAAGGCATGTGTTGGATCTATCCCATCAGCTCGGTGTCTTAACGAGCTGAACTGAGGACGTCCATTTCTTGCCACGATCTCTTAATATTCACTTTCCCTATTTATTATCTAGCCCGCAGAAGTCATCACGAAGACCCGTTTACTTGCATCAGCCGACTGCAACTTCCGAAGGCAGGCTTCTCCTTAGCAGTCCCGAAGTGAACGCCTCCAGCCTGCAGGCAGCTGACTGGCTTTTCTTTTTAGCGGGGGGAAACCCTCAGGTCTTGCAGCTCGTGGCAAGCGAAGCCCACGTAGCCTCAGGACTCAGGGAAAAGCAAACCGCAGGAGCACGAGAGAACGCAGGTAACCCCCTCCGGTCCCGGGGGCCGGCGCCAGGTGCGCGCTGCAGCGGTACCCGACGCACCGCTAGAAGCGAACCAGTCAGACCAGCGAAGGACGATGAACGTTTCTGGGCAGTGATGATGACTATTTCTGCCTGCGTTGCGTCTTTATTTTTAATGGCGACGTTGCGGGAAGCCGCTCTTGGATGGTAAGCCTGATTCTTTGCATTTTACGCAATCGGACAGGCAAATCTTACTTGGTTCTTGTGTAAGCAATCTTGTCGGGGGCTTTAAAATGCTGCCTCTCGGGATTTGATCCAGTGCCACATCCTGACCCTGGCAGACAGGACCAGGCCCAACAGTGATGAGAGATGCTCTGCGCAGCCTCTGGCTGTCCAGGCGGTCATTTTACTGACGTGCTATACAGCAGATTGCATCCAACCATTGTGGTTTGCAAGCAATAGCTCTTGGAAATTCAATACATGAAGCTTCTCTTGGAGTGATTCACCTCTGCAATGTGCTCAACTAACCTCAGTTTGAAATCAACTCATGGTCTTGTTTGTAAGAGAAGAGAAAACACTCTACCTTGGGGTAAAAGCAGCAGCATCTCGGTGGTTATAACAAGTCATTTTTCTAAGCTCTTTGAACTCAGCTCTTGCAAAAATGGCAAAATTAACCCACGTGGGAAAGAAAAGGCATCATACCTAATTGAACAAAAACGGCCTTTTCCAGGACAGATAAAAATTACGTTGAAAATTGTTGCTGGTGGTATACATAGTGGTAAAAACACACAGTAATTTTCCAATTTCACTTTTTATGTTTCTCATAAGGAGAATGCAGGTTCGTTTATTTATTATTAAATCACAACGTATGAAGTGGGATTACAGAAATGTCAATGAACTCTGTAAAGGAATCCACTGAAATAAGCCAGCCCTAAACAAAGGTGGGCCCCTGAATGTGCTTTGACAGGGAAGGCAGGCAAGGGCTGTAACTAATTAGACTTTAAGGTGTGGTAGGTTATACTGTGTTATGTAACAGCACCCAGAAACTCCATGGACTGGGAACCAACTGCGTTAACTACTGAGCAGGCATAGAGCAAAAGTGTCACCACATCATGGAAGTCATTTTCTACTCCAGAGTATTCATAAAAATACCATCTTCAGGGAGCCAGGCTTATTGTATTGGCGATATCTAGGTCAGATTTATTCAATGTATAGAATAAAAAACCCCACAACATAAACCCCACAAGATTCTGTTCTCAACTCCTGTCCACTCAGACTGCATCCTGAAAGTCACAAAATTAACAATTGGATTGCTACTATGAAAATTAAACCAGATTTGAGTTCATGTTCCTGTAGCTTGCTTTGCTCTGCTGAGGAGTAAGAATTGTTACAGACTCCTAAGCTGAACGCTATCACTGAATTCAGTCAGAAAGTGGGTCTGCTGAATCAAAAGGCTGCTTATGGGTGATGCCAAGATCAGTTACACTAACGGAGCAACGTTAGGGTCTGTGGTTATTGTGTGCGATGCACTAAGACAGAATTTGCTTGAAAGTTGCTTGTGCTGTAGTACTTAATATTCCTTTTTTAAAAAAAGAAAATAGAAATTTAGAATACCATCATTAATTTTTTTTTTCTGCCATACCAAGATGGGGGCTAAAAGTCATGCTAATGCCAGGAAACCACAGAAAAACAGCAGTGCTACACAAAGAAATGCTGTGGCAAGAACCCTCGGATGCGTTATGGGAGTTTCCATGAGAATCGCCTCCAGCTGCTGCGCGGCGAAGGCCAGCTGCACCTCTGCCTGCCGGCGGCCCTGCCCTGCGCAGGCTGGCTGCGCTTTCGCATGTAAATCACAACCGCGCGTCGCTGACGCCTTCCCTGCCACGGAACGTGAGGAGCAGATGCTGCTCCCTGTGGAAGCGTATGCCCTCGTACGCCTGGGACGCACTTCTCTAGGCATTTTTGGCCACATAAAAAAAATCTGTAACTTTTCTTTCTAGCAATTCTCCATGGAGAACTGGCAAAATGCATACAAACGTCTGATCTCTCCAAAGTAGATTTTGGGTGGGAATATGCGTGAAAAGGGGAATGTGGTCCACTCCCACCTTTTTGGGGCAATTCAATACAGACAGACAGTATGTTGTCCAGCGTTCAACAGGTTTCATGGTTTAAGAACTGGATTAAGGTACAATTTAGCTTACAAAAATGGACAACTGCAATTTAAAACACAACTTTCAATGGAGAAAAATGGAAAGGAAAATTATATTTAAAAGTGTTGTGATTTCTATACGGCAATTGTTTACCTTAACTAGGCACACTGAGTTCAAACTCTAATCATCCTACCTCAAAAAGATAAATCTGAAATAGAGCAACTGGAGACAGGTGAGAAGAACTACATGCAAAGAGTTAGAAAAGATTAGAGTTGTTTAATTTATGGAGGGATTGAGGAGAACATATGATAGGAATAGAGAAAATACAAAGTGGGATAAAGAAATAATGTAGGTAGTCGATAAACCATTTCTCCTTTTCATAACCTTTTTCTTATAGCACAGGAAAGCAGCCTGCATAGGCAAAACTGATTACATGTTTTTCTATAATGACAAAATTTCCCGGAGAAACAAGAATGCGTGAAAAATTAGAACATTCATAATTAAGCTCTGTTTTGAAACCCTGCCTGATGCGTGAAAGTACCAGCCCTGGTTCAGAGTACAGCCAGTCCCTCTTCAGCGCCTCTTAAAGCATCTAAAATGGCCACTACAAAGGTGGGGTGATGAGCTATGTCACCTCTTCCTTTCCCACTGCAAATTTTATTTGAGGGAGTAGAAAATCAGAATCAGTGGAGAAATTTAGGATTTGAGCATGAGACTCCCAGCAAAAACTTCCATCTAGCAAGAGGGAGTTACTGGATCGGGTCTAGGTGCTCTGCGAAGCAGCACAGCCTCCCTGCGGGAGGAAGGGGCAGCTACTCACAGTCCAGAATGACTTGAGCCGCTCGGTAGAGCTGCAGTCCTCGCAGCAGGTCCAGGAGCTGCTGTACTGTCGCCAGCCTCACTCCCCACCACCACATGAGCTCTCTTGTTATGCTGATCCCCGTCTTCTCCATGCACTTGATTTTCCGTAGCTCTGTTTGATCAGTTATCACGTAGGAGGCTAGTGGGAGATAACGGGTATTTCTGTTAAAAAATTAGAAAAAACAAGCAAGTGCAAGCAGGGGGAAAGCTAAAGTGCGAGACACACTTTGCTTTTTCATTTGCACACTTTTAAAAGGAAGGATCACAATAAATTAACTATGTGGACATGAAGAAAATTCAGTTCCTGAAGTAAGATATTCCTTTTATTCCTTCGACTATTCTGGAAAAAATGTTGTTATATCAGAGACCCAAAAAGAAAACCCAGCTGCACTTTTCAGCATATTTTCCCCATAATCTTCCTTCACCTTAATACTTTGGACCAAATTAAGTTCAGATTAAATTCCTGGTGTGACTCTCCCTAAATAGGTAACAGAAGTCAGTGGTGAGACCGCACTCCTGTCTGCATTACTAAATACCGATATTAAGGTAAGCCAAGTAGTAGCTGAATCATCAGGGTGTTACTGACAGTCTGATGAACCTACGGGTGAAATGCAGCTATTTTAAAGAGCAGGAGAGACCAAGCTAAAGCCGACCCTACATAATTTGTCCCGATCCCTGAATGCACACAGTATGCCAGTTCCCCGCTCTGTCCCCTTCTCGGCTCCCTCACCAACGCGTAATCCACCTCCCCTTATTCAGCTCCCGCTAAATCCGAGGCACCTGGCCACAGCGTAAGCGTTAGATTTACGGTGCCATGGGCGAGAGGAGGGCAAGGCAACAGAACGGTGGAACAGCAGACGTGTCTAAGAACGCCCCTGTATGTGGGATGGGGTCTTGTCCCAGCTTCCCCATCCGCCCGTGCCTGCCTGGCGGCAGCACGAGACTTTGCCTGCCCTGGGGAGCATCCTGCCTGCTGCGGGCGGCGGGACGGGAGGCGGCAGCCCCAGCCCCTTGGGGCAGAGGGCCCGGGGAGCGAAGCCAGGATGTGCTGTGCTGAAACTTGGCGTTCCTGCCGCTCCGTCCCGGGGCTTTGTGTAAATTCAGCTGTGCTCATTTGCGGTCTCCGGGGGCTGGTGGAGATACCCGCCGAAGGTGCCCGTCTGACTCGGCCCCCGCAGCTGACCCGCGCCTGATGCGCTGCTCGCTTAGCCCTAAGGAGAGAGGCTTGTGGGCCGGGGGTGTGCGTGTGGAAACAAAAATTCCCGAGTTCACACCTCGGCTGGCTTTAGAAGGATATTGGACATACAGTCTTACACATCTGAAGAGAGCGGAGAGAAGTCCCACCCCAGGTCAGCAAGTTTAACTGGGGTAGGAGTTTACTCAGCAAACAGAGTTAGTGAAGTCTGGAATGAAATTAAATCATGTTAATGAAAGGAAGGTAAGCCAACAAAGAAAAGATTCAGGTTAGAACTGTTTGGACTGGGATACAGAAAAAAGATTAAAAAACTCAGGGACTACGATTTCTGTACTTAGTAACTGGACAGGACCGAGAAAAATAGGGGCAGTAAGTATGAGGGAATACACATGAAGTGAAGGAAGAGAGAAAAAACTTGACCATCTAAGCACATGTGAGGGATGTTGTGAAAACAGGAAGGCAGCGGGAAGTCAGCAGAACAGAAGTGCGAACAGAAAGGGGAGCACGAAAGATAGCGGGGAGCGAAGGGAGGGAGCCTGGCTGCTCCCGAGGGAACACGGAGGTCGGGAATTCCACCATTAATC